CAAGATAATCATTTGGTCACCCCACCCCAAACACTCAGCCTACCACAGTGACATGGTGTCCGCAGTCGAAAGCCTGGGCCTTCTTGTGTGTGTGTGTGTGTGTGTGCTAAACCTTCTGTTCTCACTCAGACTTTACTCAAAACCTCTGAACCTCCAGTCCAAACTCTTCTTGAACCCTGAATCCTTACTTACCCCAAACCCCAACCCTCAACCTTGAAGCCTAACTATTTTCCGACAAGGTAAACATAAACCCTTAACCCTAAGCCATTAACAGTGGTTTCCGTTATCTTTTCCATTATCCCTATATGACCCCAATCTGTTATAGTAGTTTCCATTCTATTTTCCATTATCTGTATATAACCCCAATCTTTTATAGTATAGTTTCCATTTCATCTTCCATTGCCCCTTTAAAAACCTTCAGGCCAGCTGCGGAGGCTTCCACTTGGGCTTGGTCATACCGTGCGCAAGCGTTTCAGCCACCTTCGACTCCTGGAGGGCAGAATCTTGGGGTTGTATTATGGAAGCCCTAAGAGGGCCCCATGTAAGGGGGCCCCATAAAAGGAGACCTTTTGGGACCTTAGGGAGCCTTAGGGAGGGGAAATAAGCTGGAAACTAGTATAATATTGGGGCGGTTATATAGGGATAATGGAAAAGAACATGGAGACTACTACAATATTGGGGTTATGTAATTATGTTGGGAGAATGGGAATGAAAAGAAAATGGAAACTACTAAGGGCTTTCAAATTCATGGAAGAGGGCTGCGAAAGATGCATGGCCTTGCCAAACATGCGCATCAGCAGCCTCATTCCATTGCAAACAACCCTGGACATGCGACCTGTGACTTCCGTGAGCAAGTGTCCTTGAACAAATGGATGGCTTCCTTTGTGCGCTGGACGTTGGGCCACGGAGCTGCCATGTCTGTCCCTGAGATTGTCACAAAGTCTACATACGGTTTTCTGGCAGGACGCCTCCATGGTAAACCTTCGGATGGAAGCGTGCCATACTATACTCCCTCTGACGCTCGCTAGCTTTTTGCATGGGCTGTTGCTGTTGGGATGCTGCGGGGAAGAACATGGTACGAGTAGCTCCTCCGTGCAGCATGCTGACCAACTCAACGTATCAAGCAGTCATCCTCTACGTATAGAACCAGGAAGCATACCTTGTCAAATTCGATTTCTGCCAGCTTCGGACATGGCAACTGCTGATCCGCAGCCCATGAGGGCTTCTCACAGGCCATTGATCCCGATGAAGACTAAGTATTGTGTGCCTTACATCTTCCAGGGCTTCAGCTATCCCGGGCATTGCTCCTGTCGTTCCAGGCTATTCCATCAGTACTGTATCACTTCTGGGGCGGTACCTGCTCCCTGAATGCCCCAACCTTTGACCCTCAAACCTGAAACCCAAAATAAGGGGACCCCAATATGGACCCAAATATACTATAATCCTTATTATAGCCCCCAAAAGGGTACACCTAATTTAATTTTGGGTACCCCCACATGGACCAAACATTCCGTGGACATCCCCAGACTTCAGCATTCAACCCCCGACTAAGGCTTGGCTAATCAATGAGAATCGGGATGTAGCCCCTTAGGTAGAATGTGGCTTTGGGTATATTATAGTAAGATCCCCATATACCCCATATTCTATCTACTGAAGGGGGACTATATACAAGGATGTGGAGTGGCGGTTGGCTCAGGCCTAGCCCAGAATCCAGACATGAATCCGAAATAAACACCTTGTAGGCCAAAAGCCCTATGCCCTATAAACCTTACCGTTGATACCAAGAATCCTGCATGTCCGCTGTACACTGTTTTTGCCACAATTTTCAAGGTTTAGGGTAGTTATGCCATGCAGGTTTTTTACTATCTATCGTATCTATTGCAGCTCCATGCGCCGGCGCATTTGCAGATCAACTGCATAGCGAGCTCGAGAAGCTCCTGGGGCCAGGAACTCGCTCTAACTCGCTTTGGAGGGACCCTGGTTTCTGGGGTTCTGTGGGGGGGCTGAATGGGAATACATATGAGTCTGATTGGGACTGCACAAAAAAACTGGTAAGGAGGCGTTCAAAGCCTCTTTTATTCAAACGTCATAGAGTCTGGAAAGGGAGGGATGGATGAGCCTAAGGGACTACATCATGTTTGTCTACCTCACCTTCCAGGGCCTTAGATAGGCGTTGACAAGAAGATTACCATGTTCAAAGGGTCTTCTGTAAGACATTTGGCAGAAATCTACTCGTCCCTGCATCTACGTCTTAACCCACACACCCATCTCTCGATGAACAAGACCTTGACCCTCCCATCTCCTGTCTGTCAGACGCTCTGGGCGTCAGGAACCTGCAGGAAACTCTGACAATGGGCGGGAAATTCAATGTAGGGAGAATGAGCTTTGGCTTGTACACACAGGGGGTTAGTCCGAGGGACAAAGACAACAGGGACTAGTTCAAGCACAGGTAGCGATGCGAAACTGTCAGGGGTCTGTTCTGGGGTGCCAGACATGTACAGTGTCCCTCTTTGCCCTAAAGCTCAGCACATATTTGCAGCTGGTGCTGTGCCGTATCGATATGCTTTTCAATTATGCTTCTCCGGCCCCTCTGCAACATGTTGGAGGCTGAGGACTTTGCAGTGACAAACCACAAGGAAACGGTCGAGGATCCTTTGGATAATTTGAGTTTGCTTGTCTCGTCCCGATCCTCTCTCATCTACATTGGCATTTGCCAGCTTCACAGAGGCCACTACAGGCCGCAGTAAAAGCAAGTCACCAACTTGGTAGCTGGTAGCAATCCTCTTATTTGCCCTTTGCAGCAACATCTGAAAATGAGGTTATCCTGGTTGGAGCCGCGGTCATGGTGCTGCATGTCGCCAAGAGCCTGGCCTCTGACAAAGCAGCCCGAAGACGCGGCAGTCGTAGCCCAGGCCGGATTGCGAGACAAGATTAGACATGAGCCTCAGGTGTCATCACTTGGCCCTAGACCTTACACTGTCTAGCTCGGCTATCCTCAGATTGAGAGTCCTAATGTCCCCATGCATACCGAAAGAAAAATATAGCTACGTAGTCTAAAGACCAAGTTTAAGTACCGGCAATCCCCGAAATTCAGGACTCGGCAGGCTCGGGATGAACAGGAGGGCTTTGCAAGGGTTTCGGCGCCGAGTTTCTGAAGCTCACAAACAATACTATGAGTGTACCTGACCTGCTAGCAAGTCCTGCTTGCCGAACTTCCAAGCTGAACAAGATGAGCCCCTCGTGTGCTGCTAGGCTGTATGAGAGACAAGTTCCTGCAATCCGCATGCGCTGGGCAGAAATGGCATGGCACAATGACACACAATGGTTGCCAAATGGAACAAACAAACTTAGTGTACTACTGGAATGCCATGGAAATCTGCCTGACCGAAGCCCAGAAGCCTTGGAAGCAGCGCTTTCACATGCTTCAGCGCCACAACAAGCTTCGACAGGTGGTCCGAGAAATTGGGAAGCCTTATGTCCACGTGGCTGAGACATTAAAAAGGGTCATTGCTTCCTGAAGGGGCCTCAGAAGGCGCATGACATATGTCTAGTGCAAGCATTCTACAGGGACCAAGTTGGGCAGACACCACAGGGTTTTGAAGCAACACTCAGAACAACTACTCGCCACTATTGCAACTCAACCTCACAGGGATCTGTCAGCGTTCCCATTCGCTGGTTTTAGTTTGGCGGGGCTCCTAGGAATCTAACGACTAAGCCCAGGCATGACTTGAAGTTACTAGGAGGGGCAAGTAGTTGCCCCTCCTAGATATGCGCACAGTGGATTTCACATTGTTTTCGCTGGAAGGTTGACCTGGTGTGACAGTCAAGATCAGGTTGATAATGCTCCTCGAATGGGAACCTGCAAAGTCCTGCATAATTTTCATTTGGCCCTCCATGTAATTAAGGAGTTTCAAGCATGAGTCACTGAACCCTTAACCTTAAGCTTCTGTAAGAATATGCAGGCGGCAAGAGCAGAACCAGCCCACGGGTATGGAAATTGCTGCCAGCGGAGTTGAGCCTCAGCTGACCCTGCGTCCGAAGTTCTGGGCTTAGCAGTGCCACTTTCAAGGCTGCCCGGGGCTGGGGGATTGCGACTTGAGGTTCTGCACGCGCATCGCTGAGGCAGGGCAATGCATGTTTCGGATTAGACTCTAGAACGCGAGCCGAGAACACACAGCACCGATTGCAGACAGATGATATCTTGAAACTTTGCTAGAATTCACGACTTCCAAAGGAAATGTAGGCCATCTGCCCTGCAACTACACTGAAGATGCCTTACAACTTACTTAGGTTCCTTGTGATTCCGAAATGTCAAATTATGGTAAATGGTAAACAATCCAGGTCCGGGAAAACAGCCTTCACTCAGAGACGGAACTGATACTGAAAGCAGCTACCAGATAAAGTGCGCGCAAGAGCTCTCAAGCCGCTAGAATCATAGAACACATCCGGAATGTAGAATCGCCAGCACACCACCGTCAACAAAAAGGTGATGGAGACATTCCATTTCTAGTGCATGCAACGATGGGCTCTAACCGCCTCACACGCTGACAAACCCCATTAGGCTCAAAGCACTTTCTGAAGCAAAAGGGCTGACGCAGCAGTGATCGAGTCCAAGCGGCCATGGGAAGACGTCGCTGGAAATTGTCTTAAGGATCCGGCTTGCGCTGCTATCCAGCCTTTGTTCGTTGAGGTCTGGAATGCCATTCTGGCTTAGAGGCTTCAGCATTCTGAAACGGGGTCCCGCTGCTGGAATGGTTTGGGGCAGCTATAATTATAAGTACCGGAGCATTCTGGCAAGCCCCTTTAGACGGAAAAAAAGCCTGTGACTACGTATTATGAAAAAAAGAGCCTCCTGAGTCCGCAGACGCCTGCAACAGTGATGCGGTTTTTGCTTTGAAAATGGCACAGGCATCAAAATCTTTGGCAATTGATGGGCAATGTGCTCTGCATCGTTCAGCACTGTTCTTCCGCTGCTCTTTAGTGTGTCGAGTAAAGCCCAGTCACTGGCGCAAATCCCTCTCCAACAGGTCCACAAGCTTCTGCGTGGTGAGGCTGCCCTCGTCCAGCTGCTGCGTCAGCTTGTCCCACCCGGCCCTGCCTGGGTTGCGGGCTTCCCGGTAATTACAATGAGGGTCCTATGGATTACCAACTTTCTCGTGGGGCATAAGGTTCATCATCCAGGGGTGCTTCAGGATGTGTAGTGCACTGCTGCGAGGGGGACACCATCGGTTGATTTTCCAGGGGTCACGCAAGCCTCACAGCCGAGTTCAAGGCTGTGGCCCAGCGCCAAGTTTGAAGCCCCAAGAACAGCACAGGGTTGCGGCTTACCACCAAGTTACTGGGTCTTAGTAGGGGATAAGGGAATATAATCCCTATATACTATATTCCTTATTCCCTACCCTAAAACCCAAACCATCCTAAACCCTTCGAAGCCCTAATCCCGAATCCCTATGTAGTCATTCCCTTACCCCCAACAGATAACCAGCGACACTAAGGCACAACTGCACCAGATGTCCCCCCCGGTAAGCCCTATAATACTCCCCTGGATAATCCCCTCTACAACCCACTTCAAGGAGTTCAGACTATAGCTCCTGTCGGGCGTGGCATTTCTTTGTAATCAATTACGCTGAACTTGTGCAAGGCTTACTTGGGGCCCTCCCGTCATCGCTGCAATCATGATTTGACCCTCCGCAAAGAAATGGTCACTCCAATTCATCACGGCTACTGCGGCTGGACTCGTCATGCAGGAACATATTCATATGGAGGATGCGGCACAGCTCATAGCGGATATTGCCCGCCGAGGTCATGAACTGATAGACGTCATCCTGTTCAGCAGGCACGGTACAGACTCACTCTTCGCATCCTCACCTCACCCAATAGGAGCTATAGTTGGTAATAGAAGAAAAAAAAGAAATAATAGCAGACAAGAAATAATAGCAGTAATAACAGACAAACACTCTCAGATCCACAGCTTCTTAATCCCAGGAGGACTGCGCAAAGGCTGCAGCGCTGATTGGGCTGTCCTCAAAATACAGTTTTCCTCAACTAAACCCTAAACCCTAAACTCTCAATCCATTTCAACCTTTTGCCTTCAGGCCCATCCCTTACACAAAGGTCCAGCTACTTACATGAGCCATAGTCTAAACTCCTAGTGTCCCCCTTAATAACCCCTTAGTACCCTATATAATCCCTTATATAACCCCCTTTAAGGAGTTTAGACTATAGCCCACATGATGCGTTATGACATAATTCCTGCTTCCCCTTTGGATCCTGCGTATAAAAGCCCTCTTTCAACCCAACCTCTACAGCAGTGCGAGCGTGGAATTGCCCTAGCAGCCCACCCTAAAACCTGCATCCTAAACCCTATATCCCCCCTTAAGTAGATAGAATATGGCTTTGGGTATGTTATAATAAGATCCCCATATACCCCAAATTCTATCTACTTGAGGGGGACTATAGAACAACGACGTACGTCCCTACGTACATACATACATACATACATACCTACGTACGTACGTACATACATACATACATACATACAATGCACCAAGGTATGTTCATATACCTATAGTCTACAGATATATAGACAATATAGATATGTATGCATGATACCCTAAACCCTAAACCAAACCCTAAACCCCAAAACCCAAACCCTAAACCCTAAACCGGACCCGCAAGTTCACTACCCGGCAACCCACGCCTCGAGGTCGGACCTGAGTCTTGCAAGTCGCTCCAAAACCTCGGAGAACTTGTGCGTCTTCAGCTCCTCGAGGTAATAAAATTATTGTTCTCTATATATATACATGTGTATACCTATGTAAATGGGTGGGAATGAAGGATTGGAAAATAAAACGGAAACGACCTCGTTCTTGGGGTTGAGGGTTGTCAGTAGGGAATTAAATTAAGGCATGAGCTTTAGGGATTTTTATAACATATAAGGCATTCTAGAGACTGCTGTGGGGATCGGTTCCTTCGCTATCCACAAAGCACCAGTAAGACCAGAAGCCAGACAAAGGAAATCAGTTCCCCCCCGCCCTACCTAGGAGAAGGGAACCGTGGCGGGTAAAATGAGAAATCCATGTTCGAGTTGTTTTTAGGATCCTGGAGCTTAGATAGTCCTTTTAGGTGGACACTATGTACTATGTAGCTGCTATCCTTGGGCCAGCTGGGATCTGTCTGGGCCTCCGGACATAGGGTTTAGGGTTTAGGGTTGGAATCATGCAAATTCACTTGAGGAAAGTCTGTTGCCAACCATGACCCCCTGTACACTTTTGGAGGTTAAGTCTTCGTAGCGGTCCGTCCCAGACCGTAAGACCGTCTTCACAGTGCTCCCAGAATGGCTCCTTGTCCAGCTTGTCGGTGTCTTTGCGTGCTTTTTCTTCTTCCATCCTGATGGTCCCGCTTGGAGGGGCTGTAGCAGATATGCATCTGTATACAGAGGACTCAACGGGTACTTATATACATATATACATATATATGTGTGTATGGATATACATAGAACTTAAGAGGGTCTTAAGAACACGGCAAAAGAATTTGGGGCTCATGTAAAGAGTCTACGGGGTCAACCTAGGACGTGCCTCTTTGACTAACCCTAAGGCAATCAGCAGGTCCAGCAGAACTCTTGCACTTCACTGCGGAATCCACACCTCTCGCGCATGCTGTGGTACCTCCTCCACTTCAACACAACATCGCACCCTGATTTTAATACCTTCTCAGGGCGTTCTATTCAGATAAAAACCACGCAACACTACCAATTCCAAAGCATTTCTTCAACCTGCACAGAGATTGCATGTAGCTAAGGGCACGAACCCCAGACCTGTGCGGCTGAGGATCTGCTTCAGAAACTCGTCCCGCACGGTGCTCAGATATTCGTCGTCGCTTGAAGGCCGCCCCTTGAACTTAATCAGCAGCTCTGCCACATCCTCCAGCGCAGCTCTGACTGGAATTACCGGTGTATGTGTATTGCTGCCGCTACTATTATTATGCTATCCTTGCGATTCTGTGTTCGTAGGTCGTATGTCACTCTTTGCAGAGCCTGACTTTATTGGCTCATTCTAAAGCCCCTCAGGTTCAGGAAGGGGGGTGGTGCTGTGGGGCTCTGAAAGGTTTGGAAATGACTCAGGATTTGAGGATGTCAGAGATCCACCAGTGCCCACTTGGCAGAATTCTGTCTTGTCTGAAATATTGTTGGCCACAAAGCCGGATAACAAAACCAAAGTCCAAGCATGCTCTACACAAACTGCCACATGGCGCAAATTCACCAGTGCCAAGCCAAGGCCACGCATCCTTTCATGCTTGTGCGTTGAGGTCAAGGAAGAACTTAAAATCATGCCAATCAGCTTATGAGGGCATGTGAGCTTGTACACTTACCTCCAGAAATCAACCAGTTCAACATGTCAGCGCTCAAGGCTTCCCTTTTGTCATGCCCAAGCCGATGAGAGCAACGAGTGCAGCACATTGCCTTGCAAACATAAGCCCTAATTGCACTGGGGTCTGCAGGCCAACGTTCACAGTGCAATCAAAAAATACTTCTGCGGAGAACTCATCCTTATACGAGTACCTGCCACTACGATCGTGAAGATTGTTACTCACACATGGACAGCCCGCGGTTGCTGTTCGGTTTATCCGTATGTTGCGTTGGGGGGTTTTCTCATGCGCCTTGAAAACGCTGAAGGACAAAAGGTGCCTTTCATTTTGGTGGGACAGACTCGCAAACCAGCCAGCTCTCTCATTATGACAGGTTTTCAGGCTGCCCATGTGAAGGAATCGTTGCAGTAGTTGTTTGTTAACTCTTCTGTTTACTCAGCACAGAAAACATTTTCAGGAAAGTTCTACTCATCCAAAAATGCAATGCTTCTGACAAGCGGCCTTGTGACAGTGCCGGACAGCATCATCCAGGGGTGTGTGGAGGAAGCGGTCCAAGGGGTTGGGATCCACCTTGCCCTCACGAAGCAGGAAAGCGCATGTCTCCTTAGCCATCCGCGGCAGGTTTCTACAAGCGCGCATCCTTTAGCTTCAAATTCAAGTTGGTGGGGTGGCACATGATGATTGTGTCTCTTCAAGCTCACAAAATTGCATGAGGAAATGGCCCATGTCCCACAGTTCCGAGTCCTCGTGCTTGCATCCATGAAACGCCTTGCTTGCATCATTTGGGGGTGGACTAGCGCTCTCGCCAGTCTGGCCTAGGGTGCAAGCAGGGCACTAGATTGCCGTTTGAGGACGCCAAATGCAAAGCAGTGCGGTAGTCGTAATCCGCCATGCCCGCCTCAGAAAGAAGCATCCGGCTTTTGCGGGTTGCCCTTGCAGCACCCAGAAAAGAAAACGAATGGTTGCGGATGGTTAGGGCGTACAGCGCGCAACCCAGATTCAATCTTTAAAGCCATGTTTAGGCTGATGATTTAAGTATGGACCACGGGGATTTGTGGTGCTTCTAGGTCAATAGGCAGTCTATTTTGCATGCCCCTGGCTTAAAGGGTTGAAGGAGGACAGAAAACAATCCCACTTCGATCTCACGTTGCCTAAGATGTTCGCCTTCCTCCGTCAACTTTCCAGCTTTGTACCTTGAAGCTTGTATACCCACCAAAGACAACTTAGAGCTGCTTGTGCGAACAGTGGGCCCGGACGCCAGCATCGATCATCTGACGCAACTTCCCCTGAGATTGAGACTCCAGAGTTGGAGGTGCAGTTGAGGAGATATATTGGGGTTGTATAGGGATAATGGAAAAGAAAATGGAAACTACTATAATGGGATATATTAGGGTTGTATTAGGGTTATATTGGGGTTATATAGGAATAATGGAAAAGAAAGATGGAAACCACTATCTTATATTCGGGTATATATGGGATCATATTGGGTTGTAGCCTAGAGGTGGCACCTAAGATTTCTTCAACTTATCCAAATCATGTATATATAAAGGATGTGAGCCACAAATGGCTTTGCAATGGTTCCTATCGTGCTGGGAATGACAGCAGCATTCACAGCGTTGACCTGGTCTCCAAAGTTCGAGTTTGGGGGCAAAGAGTCGTATGGTCACGTTCGAAAAGCATGTTGGGAATAGCCTACCTCGCACAAGCCCAGTGTGCAGGATGTCACTATCGGCCTGAACTATGGTGTTGTACTGACACATGTCAGGGCCCTTTGTGGCACGGGGTTTGAGTCTGTACCTGGAGCAGCAATTTTGAGAGACTCCCTTTTAGGTAGCTCTTCCACTTGTCCACACATGATGCCTTCAATGCCATCCTGTTTCTCTCAATCTTCCAAACCGTATCCTGATGGGTATAGCAAGTTCAGCATGGAAGTCCTACCTGCTGCCCCAAGTCAAGAAAAGGCTTGACGTCAACACCTGCTAGAATCGGTATAGCTGATTCTTTTGAAGTCTCATTCTCCCAACAACCCGGGCTTGACTTTTGGATTTGCAGCAAGGGGAGCCGTCCTTCTAAATACCCACATGGCGTGTTTCAACCTGCGCCAAGGGGCGTGGTCGTTCTCCGCTGCAGCCTCCACTCATGCACAGCGTTGTCATTACGATTTCTTAACTTGTCCCTTAGCCCCTGCGGGGCAGACCAGAAGATAACAGACTGCGGGGCAGACCAGAAGATAACAGACGTATCACGAGGCCTCAACTTTGAGAGACATTTTTGGGGCGTTACTGTTGATGGCAGGGACCTTTCAGATATCGCCTTGCAACCTAACATCCTTGCTTGGAACAAGAACACGAGAAAGGAATACAAGATGTCTGCCGGAACTCAAACAGGTCACAGCTTCCAGCACTGTTCGTGAACCTAAATTGCACCGGAAGCAGTACTGTCCTGATACCGTTAGACTGACTCTCCATCGAAATGCTGCCAGAAGTCATGACCATGCTTAACCCACCAAAGCTTGCAGCAACAGTTGATCTTCTGAATCATGGGCCTCCCTCCTTACTTGCACGCAAGCTCTAACATCTACATGTAGCGCTTAGACCCAAAAATGGGTGCAAATCTCAGGGTCGAACAGCTCGAACCTCCAAGCCAACACCACCCAGTCCCCTACCACTCCCTGATGCTCCATGTTCACCACTGCGTACTTTATTGTCCCGAGGACTGGAAAGCGTGTTTGGGTTCCACATTCTAGCGGCCAATATTTGTGCTGAAAATATTCCTATCCCTCTTATTCTGACCCAAATACAGACAGTACATGGACAGTGGTTCTTACAATCTGCTTGATCGCCCCCACCTCACAAAGAGCAACTCCGAACTCCACGTTGCCTGTAAAGCAAGCTTGGGTGGTTTGTGAGAAGCCGGGAAACGGGCCCAAAAGAGGAGTTAACGTTGTGAGTGTTGGGGTGTCGCGTTGTGCGCTGGGCATGGGCGTTTAGACATGTGCGTGACAAGCCCTCTCTGAAGAACCCTGAAAAATCAGCACTGGGATTCTATCAGGGCATCCTTCATGTGCCCAAGAGTCTGTCTCTACAAGTATCAGCTAAAATACATGGTGCTCAAGCCGGGTCCGCTGCTTGTTGTGATGAGGGCAAATCAGGTTCCATGCTTGCCATTAGTGTTGCACCCGCTTTAGCCTTGAGATCCCCTCTAATGTGCTTAGGGGCCCGGTTATTGAGGATCAGGGATAATGCTTGTGAGGTCCCCTTATAACGTGTTTTTTTGGGCCCCCAAACTATAGGAAGATGACCATTCCTGTCCAAGTTTAAAAGGCATGCCTTTTCGAACCTGTTTCCAACTCAACCTTCAGAGCTTTAGATCCAGAATCCAGATACCAATCCTAAACCTGCAACCCACCAATTTTGTTTAACACCCTAATTCAAAAGCGTAAAATTCTTTGGCGTCGCCCTAATCAGTTGGGCAAAGGGGGTAGTCCAGCAGGCCTCTGGATCCTCTTTAGTGCCCATTGTTTTGAGGTCCTCTTTAATCTGACTCCATAAGTTTTGGGGCCGAGACCATCCTTTTGTGAATCTTCCCTAAGCCCTCAGAACCGCGGGAGGGTTTGAGGGGCACTATATAGTATATTGCGGCTATATTGGGATAATGGAAAATGAAATGGAAACTACTATATAGTATATTGGGGTTGTATGCGGATAATGAGGGTCTGAAATTTCTCTGTTTCTGGGGGCTCTTCTGTTAGAGTGAGAGGGGGGCCAGCACTAAAGAGGGTCCAACATTATTCAGCTCCGTACAAATATCCTGCATGGCAAGCTCGATGCTGAAATCCGATAGGCCCAACTGAAAACTGCCAAGTCTTGCGAAGGACCCTTATAGCCTGCCTTAAGTAGACAGAATATGGGGTATATGGGGATCTCATCATTATCTACCCAAAGCCATGTTCTATCTACTTAAGGGGACCCATACGTCTTGACCCAATGTCAGTGGCGCATCAGGGAACGGAACTGGGCAAACAAACGAAAGCGATAGCTACCAAACATCTATTCACAAGCAGGCTCCAGACAATCATCAAGATCCTTGATTGACCCAAGGAAACATGAAATCAGGGTCCAGTGGCCCATCTGCGCACCCTCACTCCGAAGCAGCCTTTGAGGCTTCGCGCACGCAGGGGCGAATGCTTTGAGGCTTCAGGCATAAGAGGCGGTTTGCAGGAATGGCCACCATCAAACAGCAGGGTTCATGGGTCACAGGTTCAGGGCTAGCTTTCTTTCACGTGTTACCCGTGAAGAAAGTACCCTAGTTCGATGTGAAGCCTGGGAAATGAAAGCTCGGACAAGTTGCATCGATCCTGGGGCTCCATGCCCCGACACAAACATGCACGAAAATTGTTGATAGGAAGTATGGCAGCGCCCAATTCCCAGAAAGGCTTTTCCAAAGCTTGCCTCGAGAAGTAGCAGGAGCTTGAGAAGCACAATGAAGAATCGCTGATTCAATGTTTTCAGACCCTCAGACCCTCCCAAACCAGTCCAGCAGCTTTTGGACTGCCACATGTTCGTGGCGGATGGCGTCGTCCAACGGCGTCTGACCAAAACGATCCAGTGGGTTCAAGTCCTCAGATGAAGACACGGCAGTTCGCTTTCCGCTACATCTACAGGCTGCCGAGCCTCTTACAAGCCCATAAGTTGTGGCTATGAACAACGCAACGCAAGCTGATTTGAGCCGTCACAATAGGAACGACCTGCATAGATCTCGTCTGACAAGCTGGTATGCTGTGGATTACCGCTTTCAAAACCACTCTTATAGTATAGGTTGTCACAGCGGGCAGCCGGCACTGGAACCATGTTCACAGGTGACACGCAACACGAAATTGTGGTCGAAGTGCCAGGTACGGGAATTCCAGCATCTTCCTCAGCAAGCCAGGGTAGGCACTGAAGGGGTCTGAAGGCTTGTGGTGAAGGCTAGAACTAGTGTGCGCCAACTTGAACCGTAACGGCTTATGCCCTGTTGTTGGGAAACTGCATTCTTGCAGGAGATCATTCCGAGGCGTTCCGGCGTTGTTTTGACCAACAAATTTAAGTGCTTTGCCCCACCCCCAACCCATTGGTTCTGTCTTGCATGGCAGTAGTCATTAGGCGTTGGAGTGATACTGGCCAGCACAGCTATGATGACAACCGTGCTAGGGCAATAGAGGGGCCAGAACTTGCAAGCAGCGAACCTGAGAAACTATCCCGCAAAAGCACATTCTGACCACTGGGGCCACGTGCAAGCTTTATTCAGGTGGGGAAGTGCTTTCCCTAAATAAGGAACCCCCTTTATTGGATGGGGGTATGTGGGGAAGCATTTCTTCTGAATATTTACGAGTGTGGAGAGGCAAAGGTTCTTGATTCTTGAACGGTTTTTTCACAAACATGGGGCGGCCGCCAACTTTGGGAGACCCTAATTCCTCTAAACCACCGTATACTCTCAGTGTCCATTTCAGGTTCCATTTTCTTGTCCATTAGATTCTCATCTATTGGGTATTGGGGGAGGTGATAGCCCTTAACGGGAAAATCCTTACTTTTAAATCCTTAGATACCCTAAACTTAGGAGGACCCCCCACCCTGTAATAGTGGTATAATAGGACTATAAGAGGACCCGAATATAATTACCATTATCCCTTATAGTCACTCTTAGTGGGTGGGGGGTCCACCTAACCCTAAACCCTCGACCTTGGTCCAAACACCCAGAGTAAGAACAGAACTGGAGGCCCAGTTGCGTGATGGTCTCGAGGTGGCCATTGGATGCAGCCTGGTCAGTTGGGGGTTTCTCAAAATGAGGGGTACCTTTTTGGGGGTCCCCATCATAAGGATTATTATATATTGGGGTCTATATTGGGGTCCCCCTATTTTGGGAAACTACCATTTATTTGTGCATTCATTCATGTTTTATCATACTAGCCCCCCTCCCCCGTAAATATGATCCCCTTCCCACCCGCTTAATTCCGCTGGTGTCTTGTGGTATAATATAATGTTACTACACATTGGGAACATTTAATGCAAGGAGGGGTTGAGGGCGTGCAGTCTTCAGGGAGGGGATAGGTTAATTCCTGTGATCAGCCTTGCTCTCCCTCTGATGGTACTAGTACAACTGTACAACAGGTCTGAAAACCTTGAAGGTTTGCAAGCAGACCCGGATCCCGTGGGGCGCAGCCAGAGAGCCAAGTGCAGCGCAGTGCGGTTGTCGTAGTCGCCCAGGTTCGGATCTACCCCAATCACCTGCTGCAGGCCCTTTACTTAGGTCTTCCCAAGTTTCACATTCAACACTATGTCTGGGCCCGCCCAACCAAAACTTGAAACTTCTGAACTGTCCTTGGGCTTCCGACCGCTCTTCATCTTCAAGCTCCTCCTACCCCCCTCAGACATGTCTGGTGAATTGGATTACTGACCCTTGCAAGTGCATTCGGTATGAAGGCCACATCCCAATCTCAGAGTGGTTGGTCAAAACATTGCCTTTTGTTTGATATTCAGACTAAGATAGACCTCCCGGAGCTCGTCTATCACCCCTGGAAGGCCTCCTGAGCTGAGGCGAAGGATTGGAAGACCGAGATTAGTAGTTTGCCGGTCTGTGCCTATTCAAAAAAACAAAACACATGATTACGAGGACTAGTCTTCTTGCTAGTTGTTTACGTATTACCCTGGCTTCCGTAGTGATTACTCTGTTGATGAAAATAGTCTTTGAGTAAAAGTCGCGTTCCTAAGGTCAAACTAGACCTTGCCCCCTAGGCTGCTCTGCTTGAAGGACCATGTATAAGCCTCAAGCTCTTAAAAGCTGGAAGGCTCCCACAAAGGAACCTTCAATTCAAAACCTTGTAGATCTTTACTAGAACTTAACGCTACTAAAACTTGGCGGGCCTGAAGATAACAAAAAGTGCGCAGCCTGAAAAAGTTATGTCCAGGTCGCCCCCAACCGGTATAGTCCCCCTTAAGTAGATCGAATATGGGGCATATGAGGATGTTTTATTATAATATACCCAAGGCCATATTCTATCTACTTTAGGGGGACTATCCCCCAACCCGTAGCCCAGGGAGCCTCCACGAGGAGCTCCAGCTGAGGAGTGTCGCCTCCAGCAGCTGCCTCGCAAAGCCTCAGGGGGTTCGGATGCAGGGATGACCTCTAACCCAACCTACCTACAGCTTGTTTATGGGATATACCTAAAAATTAGGGGGTAGTGACTACCAAATAGCAGGTAACTGGGATTATAATATGCAGGGTTTAGGCCTGGGGGTTGGGGTGTATGATGGCTTATGTAAGGCATTGGGCCTCAACACCCGCGACGCACTGGCCTTCAGGGTTTTTGGTTTGCAGCTTGCATGGCCACACAGCATCGCAAGTCTCTTCGGGGTTTACGGTTGCAAGCGGCAAGTATGCTTACGGCTTCTGTCCCTTGTTGCATGAGTCGACAATGGAGTCACCCAAGAGCCCTGCCCCTGACCTGATCTGCTGTTGGCACCAGGAGTTGAAAGCTGGGTCTATCCATCTGGCATGGCTCACTTGCCCTTGAAGTCTCTGCTTCTTGTGTATGGACCCCTCTAGTTCAACATAGTGTTATGGCATATGCTGCTGACACATGGCTCCAACCTTGGACAAGGAACCCCCGGGACCTGCACCACAGAGAATGATAGAAGTCCTGGTAGGGATAAGATCGCACAGAGGATTTTGCCTGTGGGATTAGGATTCAGCGCGCTAGCTTCAAACCTAGACAGAGCTCGAACCATGCTGCGCTTAGAGACTCGCGCCCCGCAAAGAACAGAGCCACCCCCGCAGCTGGGTCTTTGCAATCCCCGGGGCTGCACGGCAGCCGCTACGCCTCCCTTGAACTCGGCATTGGCCTGCATCAGGAATCTGCAGCATAAGATGTCTCATATGTACTCGATGACCCCTGATCACCTGCCATAATGAAACCCCACCCTCTAACAAGCGAAAATCCATGTGTAATGATAATATACTGGGGGTCTGGGATGGTCAGGGTTTCCTGCAGGGTCAGAGCAGAGCTCGTGAGACTTGTCGCTACGCGCTCAAGATCTAAGTGAAGGCTGTGTGTGTTTTCAAAATTTAACAACTCCGTTTGTCGTTGAAGTCTCACCGGGCATCGGGATGGTAGGAAGGCTACACGTGTCCATCGCAATCAGCTGAGAGCCACTCATTCAGACACTGGCTAATATAGAGAAAGTCTCATCCAACCTCCAGAAGGTTTCCACGCACTGCACCAAAGTTCATGCCTCAAGGCCCTATGTCCTCTCTGTTCAAGACCCATAATTAAATACCAGTGGATGTTGCTCAGATAAATTATGCCCTCTATACCCCAAGCCGCCCAGCTCCCAAAAGCCAAGCCCTCAACTCTCTCCCTACTGTAATTCACTGCAAGTAATCCAGGAACCCCAAACCCGAAATCCTCATGTCTTACATATGTACACAACCCTAGCAACACCCTTTGGGTTCCGTTGGAGGGTGGTAGTCCAATGATTTTGCGAAAGCAAGAGGCGCTGCAAAGCATGGCGTATGGGATGAGAGGACGGGACCTGGTTACACTCCACCAAACTGACACCAGACCCGGACAGACCCCTGCCCGTTTCTAAGAAGAGTTTTAAATTTCTTGAGGCTCTCTATGAGGGTTTCCTCAAGTAGGGGCCGATCTCAATTCAATTCCAAAATACTGCAAGTCTCATTGCAGCAACGCCCAAAAATGGGATCCCTCCTTTTGGAAACTTCCATGGTAGTTGGGGGAAAGTTTTGTCGTGAGTGCTTTCCTACCCGACACCATGTGCCTCAATGAGGAACTCCGCCACCTCGGAACGCCTTTCCCGCACGGCATCATCCAAAGGCGTGTTGCCGAAGCGGTCTTCTACGCCCAGCGAGGCATTCCACTCCTAGGACTATAGCCCCACCTAAGTAGATAGAATATGGGGTTTTTGGGGATCTTATGTTAACATACCCAAAGCCATAGTCTATCTACTTAAGGGGGACTATACACCAGTTTCAAAAATTTTTGGATCATTGAACATTGGAGCAAGTAGGGACATCCAGACGCATGGCATGGCTCTGGTCTTGGACAGGAAAACCGTAGAAGTTCGTGTGGGGTTTCTTCTGGAAACTGCACAGGGGAAGGTTCCAGCTTGACTGACCTCTAGTGAAGCAGCGGCCAGAGATTGAATATATGGGTAGCCTTGCGATGCCTGCTCAGAGAATTGACCATCTGTAGTTGGTGGGATAGTGCAGTGGTGGGATGGTGCAGGTTTGCTATCTTCACCCATGTGTCATACAACCCCGCACGGGCCAGTGATGAAACCGTTTGGGCCCAAGATTCTGACACTAGCCGCTCCACAATTCGAAGGCGCCCTTCGCAAACAGCGATGTGAAGAGCAGTGCGCGAATCCCAGTTTCGGCCATCCACCGTGACCTTGTTGTTCTTGAGCATGGTCTCCATGTTTTCCCACTTGCCCTGGGCTGCAAATTCGATGAAGTCATTCACGCGCTGCTGCGCCTTCTTCTCCTGCAGCGTCCGGATCATGTTTCGTACTTCCTTGGCTGTGAGGCTTGGGAATGGCGGACTCGACAATGCGTCACGCACTGAAACCCCTGCAATTCTATTAAGGCAAAAAATCCGTCAGGCTTATGAATAACGGTTCGTAGACAGGCACAACCCAAATGCAAGTATGATGACCGGACGTGCTGACACCTGAACTGCAGGAAGCGAAGTGTTACCCAACGAGTTGCCTTGCCAAATCCTACCAAATACTGAAGCCGGAAAACCCTGAACTTTCAACTGCAAACCCTCAACCCTAAACCCTCCAATGGAACCTGCCAAGCTTCTGCCACACCCTCCAGGTTCAAGTCGTGGATGGACCTGAAAACTGTACTACTGCATGAGGTGTTTTCGAAACAGATGTAAGGGATTGGGGTTTAGCTTTATGATGCTTTATGTATAGGGACCCTAGCAGGATGGGTGACGTACAAAACTGGCAGCGAAGCAGATGAAGCACCTTCCTATTACGTAAGGGGTTCTTTTGCGAAACTCCCGCTCATCAGATCGAACGGGATCTAGACCCTTAACCCTAAACCCTAAACCCTAAATCCTAAATCCGAAACCCTAAACCCTAAACCCTAAGCCTTAGCCTTGTTCCTGAATAACGTGTTCAAGAGCATCTCAGCCACAGGGATCCCTACAGTCCCAAGGGTTCCATGTAGGTATATGGTATATACTTAGGGCCCAAGGGGGTCCCATATACCTACTTTTAAGGGCTAAGTATATAACCATATAGTTACATGGACCCTTTGGGAGTATGTGTTAGTTGTGTGGTTCGAACACAAATTCCTCACTCTAAAACAATAAGCGCCTATTGTCCTTTTCCTGTTCATCGCCCGTTCCAAACGCAGCTATTGCTCTCACACACCACGCCAGAACAAGAAACTGGACTTAGCCGAACTGGGACAAACCATCTCGCCAGACATGTTCTTGGGATCGTTCTATATGCCAGTCTAGCGAACTCGATGGTTCACGAATATCAAAATCGGCAAGCCTCGCTTGTATGCCTGTGGGATGCTGAACTCAAGTAGAAAGGCTGTATGCATCAAGGGAATGTTGAACTGGTTTTATGAGTTCTGTATATACTTACATCAGAGTTTCTCAGACTTATCACGCATTCATGCAATTCCTACACAGGATCTCGATATTTCTAGGGATGTATGACTGACATTCCTGATTTCGAGAAGAAGGACAGGTCGGCGAAGAGGTCCACACCCCAAGCGGCTCGGCGCTTGCCTGGGCTCCCAGAGCATACGGTATTACTACTAGTATTCTTCTGATTACTATTCTTGTGGTTGAAGATATAATTACGAGTATTCTGATTGTTGTTTTGATTATCTTATTATTTTTGACAATGCCATATTTCTAATCTTTCTATGACTGTTATTATGGTTTTTGCGATGGGTATTATAATTAGAAATACTAGTATTACCATCATTGTTATGAGTATTCCTGTTACTATATGAAGGCATGACTTTACGTGCAGGTGCCTACTAGTGCCTTCTCCTGAAAATGTGCCCTTTAGTATACATACAGGTTCGGCACGGCTTTGGGAAAATTCACGAGATTTGCCCGACAGTGCATTTGCACGCACGTACACACGTAATACACACGCAGCGTCACAAGGCGGATTACAGCCCATCAACTCCTTGCTATGACCTCTTCTCCCAACTCTTTTCTCCCCATTAGAGTGTGGCCCGGGATGAAACAAGTTCACATGTCCCCATGGTTTTCAAGATTTTCAAGCTCAAGAACTTGTTTCAGACCGCGTTCGGCAACCCGGAGTCGGCGTGAGCCCGACTTTGCCGCAGTCACTGACGCGTCCGGAGAAGTAAATAGTAAGTAGAATCTAAACATCCGATTGTTTACGCTCCTGGCCCAAGCTTTGTAAGTGGCGAGGCTTCCCGACAGAAGAATGTGATCTAGCACAGTAGTTCGGAAGGAATATAAGAGATTTACTTGTTCATAACTTGGGTTCCCCTACTGCCTCACTACTCCATTTGGCTTTCCAATCGGGGTTATATAGGGATTACATAAGGCATAATGGAAAAGAAAATGGAAGCTACTACAGTTGTCCTTACATAATCCAATATATACCCTATTATAGTACAATAGTTTCCACTTTGTTTCCATGATCCCTATGTATCCCCAACATATACCTTAGTACAATATAGTAGTTTCTATTTTGTTTTGCATTGTCCCTATATAAGCCCAATATATACCAGTGTACCCATCCCCCAAACTTGCGGCACCTTGCAGAGTACGTTGTTGGAAAAGCGGCCCATGCGGGGCTCCATGTTTGGTTGCGGAGTGATATAGTCCCCCTCAAATAAATAGAACGTGGGGTATATGGGGATCTTATGATAATCTACCCAAAGCCATATGCTATCTGCTTAATTAAGGGGGACTAGAACATGGCCTTGGCAAATTAGAGGCCGGCTGATTTTGTCTGTGGAATCACCTGCATGCATCTGCAAAACAATGTCCCGCAGTATGCAGTAGGAGTCTAGAATCCACTATGAAGAACCCAAGTTGGACCAACATCTTGAGAAGCCCCTCTCCTCTACCCAGACCCACACCACAGGAACAAGTTGCGCTTTGTGCTCACCGATCGCGCTTCATCGTCATCCTCCTGGAGCATAGTCCTTGCTTGCTGTCTGCTTCCGCCACGGGAATCCAGCATCGAGAGGGATCAAGCTTGTGAAGCATCCCTAGGTATCGAACCTAATTCGCAAAGCCCGCAGCAAAAGACCAGTAAGGTAGAAAAGTCCGCCAGATAGGGAGGGCGCTTTAGCAAGGAGTGTTCAACAAGTGTGCCCCAGGAACTCCATATCTCATATCTGGATCTCCCTAAAGCAAAGGTTGACTTGAGCACCTGTTTCTATCCCTATGCTAACCCTGTAGCAGCAACGAGAGGTCCCCTTCGAAGGCCCCCAATCTATAAACTCCACGGCTTCTCAGACGAAGCCAGAAACACAATTGACCACTCGATGCTAATGTAGACTCCTGATCAATAAACCCCTAAAAGGGATTATAAGAGGGATCCTAACATTAAGGCCCTTAAAAGGAGGGGGTTTTAATAATCACGGGCCTACATTACAAAGAAAAGATCTTCCTGGAGCTAAGGGTCATTGGCATGGCACCGACACCCCCGGGCTCGTTCCCCTGGTCGTGGTCCAGAGTCGTCGTCTCCGGTATTATCTTCACCTTGCGGTGTGTGAACATTAGTTATATGGTGGCTTCCCTACAGCCGGCGATCTCAATGTAGACCCAAAATACTATCATCCACATATTATCGGGACCCCCAAAAAGGTACACCTAATTTAAGGAAACGCTCATATATTCCTATGGGCCCACTTGTGAGGCTTTAATGTGTGGATTCTACAGGGCAACACCGGGTAGGAATTATGTAGCGCGACTATGGAAATCAACCGAGCATCCAATTAACTATGGCTTTGGTAACATGAGCTAGAGCCTAAACTCCTTTCATTCCCCTTGATAAGCCCTATAAAACTCCCCTATATAACCCCCTTCAAGGAGTTTAGACTATAGCTACATGGATGCAGGGACTGGGGGATGGTAGGGCTAGAGGTAGAGAACCTTGCAACACTCGGCGGCAAAACATCCGGAATTAAGCTTCCGGGACCCAATAGACAATTACTTCATTTACTCCTTCCGTTGGCATTTCGGGCGGGCCGCCCTCCACACAAATCTCAAAGTCGCCACAGTCTAAAATGTAATATCGGTGTCGGCCGTGTCGGCTTCAAATCATATATCACGAAACGTGGTTACATGGCTTTGTGGTTTCCCTCAGGATCCATCCCACGTACTCCTTACACAAGATCAGAGGCCCTCTCGTGCAGAATACGCCTCAAGTGCCGCAAGCCAAGCTGCTGCATTGCCGTTGATAACCTCTTGGTCCTGCGGATGCATCTTCAGGGCGAAGTTGAAATCCTCAGACATCAAACGTCACTCTTGTTTGTCTGAGGGGTTTGGAATGCCAAAGAGATGTTTATAGGACTGTGAGGTGTAGCTCACACGCTTTCAGACTCATTTTCTGCGTGGAGGGTTGAATCTGCTGTGAACATCTGATATAACTGTTTGCTGCGCGCTCCAGCCCCCAAAAAGCCAAAACAACTGACTGTCTTGCTGACCGTGCAGGATTCATCTTCAAGAGTTTTCATGAAGCTGGAAATCATCTGATAAAGGCAACATGAACGTCACGCTCTGTAATTGGACTGGAAGACAAATGTGGCAAGAATCTACTAATTATCTCATGCTTTCTGTCTGCCTGTTTGGCCTAAGCTAACAACATCTATACTACGCTTGGATCCTGACCTTGCCAGTGCCGAAGCCTAGCGCTTCCTGGGGGCATTTTACACAGGCATATATACTCCCTATATTAATATCCCCATATAATCCGGTATGATCCCTGCATAATGCCTATATTATCTCTTATTCCCTACTGAATATTCAGTGTGCGGGGAAATTCCGCATCGCTTACCTACGAACTTTGCCCTGTCTGACTTTGTGCGATCCTTGAGGCACTGAGGTTTTGAGGGCCCAAGGGTTGGGAGGATTACAACCGGTTGACAGGCGGAGTCCAAAATCTTTGGGTTTAGCCATCACGTGCTTTGGGCCTGTCATCCTTCTTGGGCTCTCCCGACTCCCTGCAGACTCCTAGGCCCTAAACCTCAAATCCTAAACTCCAAACCCTGAACTCTATGCTCCAACTCCCTGCCCCCTCAACTTACTGGTGCTTAGCGGACAAGAATATGATCCCTCTTGAAAATATACCCTCATTCCCTACTAACCACCCGTAAGTCAATGAGCCCCCAAACCTCTCAACCCACACCCTTTTGCATCCAGCCTGCGCAACGCACACCCTAATCCCAGAAATCCCAAACCCCTAAACCCTACATCCTAACCCCTAAATCCTGAACCCCTAAACCCCTAAATCCTAAACCCCACACGTCCAAAAGCAGCCAAGCATCCTCAGCGCGAAGCTTGATGAGCTGGGTCTCCTCCTCACCTTGGGGCAGCAGTGCCCACCCACGTGAGCTACAGTATTCCTTAGAAGGACCCCCCACCCTGTTATAGTGGTATACTGGGAATATAAGAGGACCCTAATATAATCTCTACTATCCCTTATAGCCACTATTACTGGGTGGGGGTTCCACCTAAAGTATTCCCCAAATGAATTATAATATGTAAGGGATGTATGGGGGATTTTTAGAGGGGTTATATAGGGGATAATGCAAAATAAAATGGAAACGACTGTAATGGGGTTATATAGAGTTTGGGGAATATATGGGATGTTGGGGTTATATAGGGGATATATGGGGGTTGTATAGGGGATAATGCAACATGCATCGGGAACTAATATAATGGTGTTATATAGGGTTTAGGGTTTAGGGGATATATGGGATATTGGGGTTACCTGCAGCGGTTATTTTGGGACATTACTCCAATTATGGAGAATCAGCTTGGAAAGAAAATGGAACATGAACGGTCCCTTAGTGAGGGTAATTTTGACAGTAGCCCACATGGCTTCTCCAAATTGGGTGTCCAGGGTTTAAGGTCATACCCATCTCAAGCCCCCATAACACACGATGATCCTTACTAGTTCTAAGGGCTCCCGACAACAAATCACCAAATTTCAATAGCCTCCACCCATGTGATAGCTCCTGGAGTGCAGTCTTCAGGGTTTCAGGCTTCGGGGTGTATATGGCAGAATTCTAGCAGACTCTAATTAGCAAAGGCCTTAAGGCTTCATATGGGTCGTTTCGACCGGAGCCTGCCCAAACCCTTTTCCCCACTGGTGACTCCCGGGGTATGGCCCCTTTTGGGGTTGTGAGGCTCCTTTCAAGGGCCCTTAACACCCCCGTGGCCATTAAATCATGGGTGAGTTTACATTGTTTGCATAGGACTGGAGGACCGAGAAACCGTATGCACGAACGAAGGCACAAATGCACTACCACCCAAATAGCAAATGCCCCTGTACAAGTCTGCACTACTATCGTCAGCCTCACAGCGAGCTTAAAAGTCACTACAAGAATCCAAGCAGCAAATGATCGACGTCTTGTGCCGCAAGCCAAACCTGGAGACATGAACTCAGACAGCTGGTTGCAAGGAATTCGCCTAGTTTGCTAATGTTGGACCGAATCTTCCATGAAAATTACATCATGAAACGCACTCCGTTTGGGTTATCCTATAATTCAGGAGACCCGAATATAGGCACCCAAGCACTCTAATCCTGATTATAGGGGCCGCAACAAGGTACTTCTAACCTTGGGAAACCCCGAAATCTCTCGGGTTGTTGGAGAAGGCTTCCAGGGTTGATCTGGGCCTGGAAGCTCTCATAATGGGAGGGGATCTTTTTTCGCGACCTGTCTCCAGGGAACCAATAGCTGCTGTACAGACTTTCAGTGCCCCCATGGTTACAAAGGCCGCTCTACACAAAAGTCAGCCAATCATTCGTGCTAGCCATTCTGGCTCCTTCACCGCGGACTTCTGACAGGAGGTCATGGGGAGAACTGGGGGATAGCACCAGGGCAGCAATCAAATCTGAGATCCTGATGAGGGCTAGATACGCGGTGTAGGATTTAGATTTAGGACACATACTTTATCGAAACCTCAATACCCTTGTTGGTTAAAAGAAACATCGCGAAGGGCAGCCACTCACGACTCTCACGACAAGCCTCATTGTTTTGTTGCACATGCTGCAGCCAATCCCTTTTGGAGAACTGATCGAAAAGGCCGACACAGGGTCGCGAATATTCGTTTCTGTTGTAGAACTGGCTGTGAAGTGCACTGTTGCTTCTTTCTTACAAGTGTAAGACCATCCAAGCAGGAGAGCATGCAGGAGATGTCGCAGAAAGCCGTGCCCTTCTCTTCCACGCGGTCTACCTGTCAAGGAAGCTCATCCCCGGCTTAATTGGAAGGATACAGTATGGACTCTTGCATCGAGCTCTTGATAAATCATGGCACAGTTCCATAGACAACTTAACTCAACTCTTGCCATAAGTTAGCATTTACCTTTTCCATCTTCTACCCATGCCCCACCCCCTAGCTCTAAGGTTCCACCTCGTCGTTGTTTACGTCCCTGATCTGGACGGAACCAGACTTCAGGATGAGGAGGAAGGTTGCCTGCTCTCCGACCTGAAGGAATTGCGTTGAAGAACTCTGATAGTGTAGACCAATGGTTCAGAACCCCCCTCCTTTTAAGCACCTAAGTTGGCCTAAAAATTAGGCTCCCTATGATAATCCCTAGCAAGGGGAGGGGATTTATTAATCAGGGGTCTGTGTTAGTGGCCAGTAGCCCTGAGATGTTCACGTACCGCCGAGAATATCTTTCAGACCTTGCTTCTTCTAGTATTTGCACAGTACAGGCCTTGGAGCTTCAGGATTTTACTTCGACCTCGAAGGCTTGGTACCCTCGGTGTCCAGAATTTTTTCTAGTGGAGTTATACCTGCTCTTCACAGCCTATACATCTCAAAAAACACAGACAGTACTCCACAGTACCCGCAAAAATCAGGGGTCGGTATACGCAGAAAAGTGGGAGCCTTACCATAAGCACCTCTAATAACGTTCAAGGCAGGACACCCTGCTGACAAATGCGCCCGCGGAAAATGTCCAAAGCCGGCAAGTCGTGGCAAGCTGCAGCAGAAAGGGTTCCTGATCGCAGGGGTTCTACTTCTTGGAAGCCTGCACGAACTCACAGCATGGCAAACCGGTATTCCAAACCTTGACCTTGCCCCTGTAGTATTAAAGATTTGCAAGAATATTCTTTATAACGCATCGCTATTAAAAAACAAAAAGTATAAAAGCATGATGACCCGTTTGATTGCTGAATCAGAAGAGGCTCCGAGCAGCCTTTGAAGAGCTGCACCTTTGCAAGCGTCAGGTGTGTCCGGGGCTGCTGACATCATATTTGTTATGGTCCACATTTCTTACGAGGGGTTGTCAAGATTTTGGGGAGCCCAGCTTCAGTGGCCACATGAGCGCCCACTCCAGATTGTGATCCCTGATTAGAGACAACCGATTTGCCAAGCCTCGACACAAGGACTGTTAAGCCACAAGCGGTGCGTCAACCCATCCTGGTAAAGGGGCTACCTCCTCGCCGACAGAAGCTCAGACATGGGTTGGTGGATGCCGTGCACAAAGGCCCGCAGAAGGTGGCAAGGTTTGTCAGAAGCCATTACATGGAATACGCAGCTGCGCTTGAGCGCGCAATCTGGGGCGGATAGATTTCTAACGTACTTTGGCAAATAGGTTGCCCGCTGGAGGCTGTAGGAGGCGACAGTTGAAACGCTAATGTCGCTGCCGATGCTGATATGCACTTCAGCCAGAGCAGCAGTGACATTAAGAGGACACAGGTTTCTTCAACCATTCCACCAGTACTGTACTGTGTTGAACGTAGCTTCGTCCGACGCAAATGCTTCTGAATGAAAGCTGTCCTTTTTTTTTGAAGAGGCATGACTTTTCTTTTCTGTGTTGCCGTAAGGAATGTGAATTGAAGTACCATGTTAAGGAAATAGGGTGATACCCCATGTTTTTTTTTGTGTGTGTGTGTGTGCGTGTCGTCAGCGTATTCCAAGAACCCCAGAACAGCGCCCAGGAGTTTGGCAGTAAGGCCATCGAGCTAAACCCCCTATATATGAAAAAGGGACCTTAGGGTCCCCAAGTGTGCTTATCGGGAACTGCCAGATCATGAACCACGACCCAGGCACGCCCTGCAGCCACTTGAGGAACACCCGCCGGCCGATACGCGTCAATAAGCCGCGCGATAGGCTCCTCGGTCATTCGATCATAACTGGGCGGTGCCTTAAAGGCCCCCAAAACTGCTGGTAAATAGGGTCCCTTATACAACAAAAAAGTGCCAGCAGAGCTGTTGCTCTGCGTGCAGCCTACATGACCACTAACTCATGATGATGGTTTCATGATCCTGTCAGTCTTGCTGAAGCAACCCGTCACTGTAAGATGAGAATTTTTTACTGTAGGTCTGTTTGCAGCGAAGGCCTGTACCCTAAAAACAACGGCGACTAACACCTGAATCCTAAGCCTTTGCGTGAAAAGCCCGACAAGCCTAACCTTACTTCCAAAATGCGGACATCACTACACCCTGTAAACCCCTCACGTTAATCTCCAAATCCGGTTGCGTCAGCAAGGCTTCCATGGTCCGCTGGTCGGCAGTTCGATCACCCTTGGGCGCACTACCCGAGGCCTCAAGTTAAGCGATTCCAGATGCTTTGCTGCTTTAGACCAGGGCTGTTCAAACTCTTAGAGAGTTGGCGCGTTCACGCGTTCGGTGTGGTAGGGCTAAGATTTCCGGCGTCCAAAGCGTGGGCGCATTCACAAGCCGCAGGACTGATTTCTCAGTATGGGCCCGTCTTGCACAAGCTCTCTGCGTAGGCTTTGGACTACTCCCAGTCCGCGACACAGAGTGGCTGGGTTCAGCTTAGGGGCTGTCCGCGTCAGGGCTTGAAGGCTGGTCTGGAAATGGCGGGAGGTTTCGGGCTTTAGGTACTACGCGCAGGGAAGGTAACAACAAGTATGAGAAGCCGCTCTGGTTACATAAGCTCCCTAGAATCCTTTGCGCATTCTCATGACGAGCCCGGCAGCCTCACCTCCAGCATCCAACTACCCTGAAACTGACCAGAGTCCGACCAGCATTCCGTAAATGCTGATCCTAAACCGCAGGTCCCTGAATCCAAGTCACCCAAACCTGCACCAACTACCAGAACCTTTGGCCCCCCAGCTCCCGCCTGTGTGGAGGTGGAGTCTGTGCCCAAGCGAATCTGTTCAGCTAACTCGGGTGGTAAGCCAGAATTCGAGATGAACGTCTCGACCTAAGGCACGTGCCATTTCTGGTTCGAGGGTTCCTTCAAATTCAGCTTGAGGCCTCTAGGAAAGGTCCTCATGCATTCCCATATCATTCCCCAACCATTGCCACTGAAACCCTAAAGCCTCCTTCCACTGTGCTTCAAGTGCCCACAGCAACCGAACCCTCCATCAAAAACCTACACAGGCCCAGAAAAATCTCACACAACCCCTCGCCTCAGCAGAAGCTGCCCATGGATCCCGTCAAATCCTGAGCACATCTCTCTGCAACCAAGCTACGCGTGAACGCATCACACGGGACTCCACAATCGATTCATCCTGGGAGATGACTTTATCCACGAGAGAGCCGTCGATGTGACCATTCCTGAGAAGAATTGTTTCAGGACCCTCGGCACTGCAAGAATTGGTTCGGAGGCCCTTCTGAGGTCTCGTGACCGCTCGAAGGTTGTAAAGGCCCCAGAGGCGCTTCGTCCTTGCCATAAGAGGACCGCGCAGAGTCTTAACAAACCTGCACATGCTGGAAAGCCGGGGTTCAATGCCACGGACACGATGAAGCAAATCAGGAGCCAACCAAGCTCGTAGTAGCTCGAAGGGTTCAGCAGATCCTAATCCATTTCTGAAATTCGGATTAAGAGGTCCACCCAAATCTGCGGGACTGTGTTGGAATCAGGGTAGACTAAAAAAACTTGTGCAACATCTATCCCGGGATCGGTGCTGTCGTTTGTCAAGACCAGCATCATGCCATAGCACGAGAGCACGTACTGCCTACACGGAGCTTACACATCTCTGCCAGACATGGGTACTTGTCAAGGTTGGGCTTTGGCTTACGCCCTGATCCATAGCAGGATTTACAGGGCTAAATTTGATGACTACCCTTCAGGTAAGCAAAGATAATTCTGAAAAGGCTTACCATTGGGTGCAAAAAAGTTGCTCTAAAACCGACACCCAGGGCTGATTCACAGTACCCACAGGATGCGACATGCCAGCATATACGCGAAACCAGCCAGGACCGTCCTCGGCTGCCCCATTGCGGCGGAATTGCCGCTTTGCCATCTCTACGCCCTACGGAAGTCTGTAAACTCCAGTATCCCCCGTAATAACATCTATAAAAACCCCTATAACCCCCGTGGAATCCGAGAATCATAGCCGTTCAGCAGCTGCTGTCCGAAGTCTGGCTCTGTAGGCCAGCCATTCCCCAAGTACCACAAGGTGCACGCCATGAAGTGCAGAAGCACATACAGCTGCAGCCTAAGCATTTTGCTTTACAGGCCACATGCAACAAGAAGTAGGGTTCAACAGAGAAGGTCCCGTACAGACCAAAAAGAACATCAGGGCTTGCGCAAGCTGGTGCTGCACAGACTAGGTAGACGACATGATGCTACACATAACATCCAGAAAATGTGCTGATAACTTGTTTGATTACGTTTCCTAGTGTCAACAAAAGCCTTTTTGCTTAAAGTCCGGGACCCCGCCAGACCCTGAATCACGGCTAGGCAGCATGATCTTGAAGGTTGTGAAGAGGAAGCCACTGGAGCTTTCGGACACCCGGCTCTTCGCGAAGAAGTGACGCAAGTGAATCAGCCTCGAAAAGCAGCAATTAGAACGATAAAGGGGCTGGCAACAAATAGTTAGAATGTCTGCGGCGGAAGCAATGATGAAAGTAAAGCTGCCATTACAATCGTCGTAGCTGTATCGGTTAGTTTGGGGCAGTAACTGCATAACGCCCCAGCAGGACTATAACATGGTCATCAGGACTTGGTAGCTGTGGCCTACCTGCGCGTAATGGTAAAATATCCTATTCATGCTTCTGTAATTTGGTCAGAGCTAGAAGGGTCCAGCCCCATCCACCAGCATACGCCCACCGGGTCTAGATAAGCCTGGTAACTTCAGCAACCGCCATGTTGCGTATTGCCTTGAGTCATTGAAGCCCGCAACGAGCAGGTCAATGGGGAAACACGCCAGCAAATCCCAACTGAAGAATCCCAGGAGGTAACGTACTCGAATGTGATGAAAATCCATGATTGTAACTCCAGAGCTCTGCATATAGCCGCGCATGAAGGTCAGCAGCATATTCAGGAACATGAAGCCATCAAAGGAAAGATTGGTGATGAACAGCGCACTTCTGCCAGGCTCTGCGAGAAAATCAACGTTGCTGATGGCAAACCGCATGGGAACCTCCAGCATGAAATATGTGATCACAATCTTCCGCAGCGTGTCCCACACCTAGGCCATTGTCAGGGCAAGCTCCCACATGTCACTTCCCGTCTTGCTTGGACTTAAGTCGTCATAGATTGTTACTATGGGGTTTTGGTAGAAGTCATTACAGGTCCCTTCTTGGCGTCCCCATAATGAGGATTCTAATTAGTGTTTTGGAGTCTCTTGGGGGACCTTATGTTGGGAAACGACCAAGTAATACACTAAGGCCCGGGGACGTACAGCCAGATGCTGTCTGGCGGAAGGACCAAGCCGGCCAGGCGCTGAACACAGGCCCACGACATGTCCTTCAAAGTGGTATGCAAGCGATAACTGGGGGTTACATAGGGGAAGTCTAGGACTTCACCCCGATAATGATAATGACAAATGGAAAGAACATGGAACATTAAGTATAGAGAGTGGGATGATGTGAGGGTTTGGGTCCTGGTCATTTGTGGTCTGCCCAGAGTTGTGCTGTTGCCGACGCTGGACCAGGGCGTTGAAGTCCACGGAGACATTTTCCTGAGCCAGCCCGTAGGAAAGGGTGGTACAAGTCCGAGGTAATTAGAAGCTAAGCCCGGCAAACAGTGGTAACAATGCTTCACAAGCCCAGGCTCCATCGATTTAAGAACATCAGGGAGTTGCAGCAGATCCTGTTCTGACTTCTCAGCGTTGTCGAAGACATTGGCGGCCAGGCGCAGCATAGCATCTCGATCCAGCTGGCGCCCAAGCACATCGGTCAGCAGTGTTGCAACGTCTGCAAGAGAGATGCCTTCGCCATCCTCATCTAGCTCACGGAACTTGCGTGCCACCCTTTGCTTCATCCGGCCGTTGCCATCTGCACCGCGATGGATGCCGACATTATACAGAAACGCATGGCAGAAGCTGGCTAATCGACCGGATTTGGTCCTGGGCTCAAGAAGGGAGTACAGTCATCCCTGTCTGACGACTCAAACTGACCCAAAATGTTCTCGGAAGTACTAAGAACCCAGAATCCCCAAACCTTTCAAGTACTTGGTTTGGATACGCTTTCAACCAACATCCCTCTGGATTTTTCTGGGGATCCCAATAAAGAGCCCAGGGTCCCCTCGTGGGAATTCTCGGCGCGATGCCTGGGATTTCTCGGTGAACCTTCGACAAACAGATGGCCAGCTACAAGCTTTAGGAATCAGGCCCCATCCCAGAATTGGAAAAACTTGGAGTCAGATTACGTTCTATGGCAAACTCACACAAAGGTTTGGGTAGACCTGATGGTTTTTAAGCTGGTCAAGGAAAAGCTCAACAATCCAAGACACCAACTTGGGACGTGGGTGACTTCACGTCGCTGCCTTAGGTGTCACTGCGGGATCTTGGGGCTCGATTCAGTACATGATTGCAGGGGATACCCGATTCTATCCAAGAAGTCCAAAAAGGCGAGACTGGGGACTTGGGTAATGATGGGCTTCTAACCAATCACAAAACCGCTGCACTAAATCCTCGGGCAGCGTACGTCGCATTCTCTGTCTGCGTCGGCAGAGCACGCATTTATGCATATGTCTGCGCGATAATTTTTTCAGGATCCATTAGATCTTCCCCCCCACAGAATAGAGCTGGCCGTGTGGTGGGTGCCTCCTGCACCTGTCTTGCTGGTTGACGGTCTCCCTCTCGGCAAGGCACCAACCAGGTGCACAGGCCAAAGACTACAATCGCTACAAGCCGGAATAATAGAGGGTTATATGGGGATAATGGAAAAGAAAATGGAAACTACAATTCAGGGTTTATTGGGGCATAATCTAGGGTCATATAGGGACAATAATCCGCTCTACACCTCAGCAGACACCCTCTTCTCAATGTCACAGTGACCTACTCACTGCATCTCACTGCTTCCACGTAGGCCGTTGCGAATCCAGCTTCTACCCTGCGCCCGCAGAAACGGCAACCTCAAATCCTGAACCCACATTCACGAGATCCTACTCACTGACTTGAAAGCCCATCCCTTAACTCTTCACCCCTTCTGTATACTAAAAGCAAAAATGTCAAGGAGTCCCAGCCGTCAGGATATCTCAATGACTCAGGATATCCAAAGCCCCTTTATATCAATATGTTTCCATTTTCTTTTCCATTCTCCCGATATAACCCCTACATGACCCCAAAATCCCATATATCCCCTAAATCCTATATAACCCGTTTATAATATTTTCCATTATCCCCCTTAGCCCAGCTGCTGAGGTTACTCACTGGAGGATCTGAGCCATTATCGCTCTCACGGATCTCGCTGGATCCTTCAGAGCTACAGATCTCCGCCATACCTTGCGGTGGCTGAGGATTTCAAATAGGGATTATAGGATTTGGGGATTAAAGGGTTTAGGGATTATTGGGGGTATATATTGGGATTACATAGGGATGATGGAAACGAACATGGAAATTACGATAATGGTTATACAAGATTTTTTAAGGCTTAGGCTGCAGGATATCATAGGAACAGTGTACAGAGGGTGGCATTTGATGTCTAGGTGTGTTTCAGGTTTGGGCTTGAGGGCCCGGATCTCAGGGTTTAAGGGCGTCGAAATGCAACAACAACGTCAGGGTATTGGTAAGACCAGCCGCCAGACACACCTACCAACAATTACGACGTGTTCAGCTGATGCGGTCACGACGGCGTTGAACTTCGATGTATTCTTTGTACATCTTCTAGCTGGGCGGTTGGCGATGGTTGTGGTCATCAAGGTATTAGCGGTATTAGTGTATGAGATTCGTAGCAGCTATTGCAGTAGCACTGCAGTAGCCAATAGTACAACTTAGAGCAATGGTAGCAAATTACTTGTGATGCAAGCAGGCTACTAGCAGACAGACATGAAAGTTAGCGACACTAATATTCAAAATAATAACAAGAATATTAGAGCAAAGCAGAAGCAAGAATCAGATGAATCAGGAAGTAGAAGTTCATCAGCCGCAGTGCAAGGATCAGCTTGGCGTTCGCATTGCTGATTTCACTCATGCTAGCAAGGAAAGCTTACGCAGCCAACGCAGCATCGCTGCATGCACTAGCACGCTGCCCGGGCACATATACATACTCTTCAACTTCCTAGGCGGACTACACGGAAAACCCTTGGCCTATGCCACACTTGTAGAGCAGTCAAACTGCGCAGGCTACGCGGAAGAGACAACCTATGCACGCCTATGCAAACTACGGCGAGCAGGCCAAAGACTACACTATTTACACGGACACTTCACAGCTTCCTTGCCATTGTTTCTCTTATCGCCCTAGCTAGCTGGTGTTGCCGTATATAGGCTTGAAAGAGGTTGCCGTGGCTTGGTGGTTGCAGTTTGCTTCTTTGTGATGCGGCTGCAGCATATCAGGCGTGCTTGAGAGCTGGTCTTAAAGTCTCAAAATACGTCTTACAGATAGCTTCCAACTGTCTGCAAGGCTACCATGTCAACAATGAGCCGGTCACGCACGTAGCCCTCCAAGACTTAAGTCAGTCTACTACTGCCAGCAAACATCATACCAGCACACTCATCGGCACACCTGGCCTGGCCCCTTCCCGAATTGGAACCCTCAGAAACAAGCCAGGCATGAATGGCGGACACCTCTAATCGATCGCTTCCGTGTTCTGATCTAGGTTTGCGACCTTACTGCGCGATCCTAGTGTCGCCACAAATGTGCTGTGGTAGAGGCATGGAATGAAAGGTACAGGTTCTGGGGGGGCCCTTCCGAGAAAGAAGTACGCGGAGACACGACGAACCTACAAATGCGACATGCCAAAGTTCTCGCAGCTCCTCAGTCACGGCCGCCCCACAAGGCAGGAACTTTAGTGCTTAGTAACTAAGAAAATTCCAGGAAACGCCCCGAAAAGCCCACACGACCAAGTTGAGGAGCCGGTCTGGTAGAATAATTGTTGGACCCGCAGAGTTGTTGTCAACGTAGATTGCCCTCCAGCCCTGACCACCTATTAGCCTCAAGCTCTGAACGCCAAGCAGCTTTTCAAGTACTTCTGGTCCAGCTGGACAGTTTCCCCTGAACCTCATTGTGACTCACGGATTGGTCGCGCCATGGACAGTCAGTGGAGGTCTTACGGTCTTGACAATAGCAGAGCTAAGCATGATGGAGGCTGTACCACAAGCATGACATGACAGCAGCAGCAGGAGGAGTGGTAACCCGACTGCTATATCATGATCATGACCATGGCCGTCATCACCCTCATTGTCAACCGGATTCGAAAACAAATTGCGAAAAGCAAACTTCCACCCCTGCCCCCTGCATCTGAAACAAAAACTGTGATCCGTGCAATTTGCTCTTCTTGGAATGACCAACGCACACTGGGCAACTCTTATCAGGGATGTTGGTGACTCAACCAGCGTTGAGGTCCAGGCTTCATGGATCTTGCAAAGCTTTGGAGTTTGGAGCGGGCCCATGCATTGAAGCAATGGTAGGATGGAGGACTGGGGGCTCAGGAGCTGGCAACAGCACCATCTTGCCGCTGGCGACGGTTTCTAAACAAAACCCGAGGAATCGTGAAGCTTGCAACTGTTCTGCAGAGTTAGTTAGGGGTCAGTGAGAAGCGGAGAGATATCTCAAGTCCTTCTTTAGTACTAGTTGCGCATGAACTTTAAAAACGGGCTCAACACCAAGTATGCAAGAGTCATCCCAGCTTGCAACGCGAGGAGCTCAGGAGCACCCGCTCGAAATCCGCGACTGCACTGTCATCACGCCCCTCTTCTGGAGTGCTGAGGAGTTTCTTCTCGTCTTCCTCTGCAGGCCCCAGAGATGTACTTTATGTTGCGGGGCTTTGTCAAGTAGGGAACCCTTTGATACCCTGGACTAAAACAGAGTAGGAGGGATGTCAAGATTGCTGCTTCTACGAAGCTCATCGGGCTATGAGTGACTCTGAGAGACTGAGTGACCTGTCTAGACTCCTCACTGACAATGGAGCTATCTGATCCACTGCTTACCCCTACATATCCCTGACTCGCACATTCAGACGCGACGGGTCCAAGACTTTTCAGCTTGCATTTCCAAACGCTTGCGGCGTGCACATACAGCTTGAGAAATCTTGGAACCGCGACAACATGCAAAACTCAAACAGATGGTTGTATCGCACTGCCAGGAAATCGCATGGGGGAGCTGCAATGGAAGGAATTCTTAGCTAGGAATGGCTCTAGTCTTGCCGGAACACAGACATGGATCAACATACCTCAGCCACACCCACTCAAGCTGCAAGGGGTTTTCCAAGAAAAAGCACAAGAAAAGGAAGGGACATCAGCCACAAACAACCCTGACACTTGGGGCTTGAGGTGGGGCCCCCAAAACAAAAACACCACCGGCTGCAAGAGAAGCACCACGGTTAGTTGTCAAACGGAGATGCTCGGTTACATTGTGTAAACAGGATCAGGAGTCTCTATCTCCACTCGCGCTCTCTCTCTTTCTCACACGCCGCAAGCTCGATGCGTCAGCTGCTGAAATCAAGCCAATAGCGATCTCAACTAACAGGAGTGGAGTATAGAAGTCTCCCCTATCAAGCCCTGGCCCAAAGCTGTATTGCTATGTTCCCTGTGTTTAGCACTGTTTACATATCTGCTCACTTACTTTGGCTAGGGTCCTCGCGCGTCTTTCGCTCCTCCGCCTCCTCAATTGCATCCTGCTGAAGACTGGAGAAATCCAGGACGTACTGCCTCAGGCTTGGGCTACTCAGGTTGGGGATGCAGGATTTATCATTACATCGCTGTTGGCTTGGGCTGTAGCGATTGAGCAATCATACCTTCCGGCTTGCCGGACTGGGCCATGTTCTTAGCTGCCGCTGTCGTCCCTGGTGTATTCAGCTTCGTTTGTGCAGCGCAGTATCGC